AACAAACCTGTCCTCTTTTAGCTTGTGGGTGTGGGAAATTGTATTAAAAGACAGGAAAGTGACTAAGAAAATGCTGATCAGACAGCTAATCAAATTCAGTAAGTAGGCAGTTAGTTCTGCATTCTTCCCTGGAGGTCAGCCCTTGAGATTTAAATGTGGGAGATATCAGTCTAAATGTTATAGAAATCCAAGGGCTTTAGAGATGACTAAGTAGTTAAGTGTGAATAAAGCAGAAGAAAAGGCCAGGGACTAAGCACTGTGGTGCACTAAACTTCAAAAGCTAGGGAAGGGCTAATGTGATGGTTGAGCGTCTCCAATTTCCAAATCCAAAGTCTAAAATGCTCCAAAATGGGAGCCAACATAGCATAACCACATGATACCACAAGTGAAAATCTCCATCCCTGACCTCGTAAGATGGGTTGCAGTCCAAAAACAAGTACACTAAATGTAAAAAGTTACCTTTTGGCTATATGTATGAGGTATATATCAAACAGAGTGAAGTTTGCATTTAAACTTGGGTCTCCTCCTGAAGATATCTCATTGCATATATTTAAATATTTCAAAACATGGGAATTCCAAAATCTAAAACATTTCTGGTTCAACTTAGATAAGGGACACTTAACTGTGGTAGTGAAAGAGATGAAGAAGGGAAACCAGAGAGGAAGGAGCAAAATAAGGGCAATGTGTTGTGGAAGTCGGTGGAATAATTAGTAGTTTTAGATGCTGCTGATAGGTCAAATATGGCACGGAATTAAAAGTATTCATTTTAGGTAGCAATGTAAAAGATATCGGTAAAGGAGAATGGAGGAAGCTCTAGAAGAGTAGGACACAGAGGAAAAGTACTGAATATTACACACAAGGTACCAATTACCATCCACACTCATGACCAAACTGTAAGCTTTTTCCCTGGGCTAGAAACACAATGGCAGGTTGATGCAATGAGTTAGGCTTCCTACCGCTTGCTTCCCTTCTCCAAATACTGTACTTGGTTTCTCACATAGTATAAAATAAAACTATTTAAGACCATTTTCAAAGTTATCTTCACCATCTGCCTCTCCCTCTCCAAAGTAACACCACATGAGCATGATTAGATTTAGGTTTCTGGATATCACAGCCACTCATTTATATATAATTTATTTAACTACAGAAATATTCAGCTAAGCTTATCCTGCATGTATGGGCTTATTGTTATAAATCCTCTGGTCAGATAACTTTCAAATGCTTGTACTAATTTCATTGGCACCTTTTAGAAATTGATCATCTGAAGAGGATTTTAAAAATGTGTTGAGAGCATACTACATTTCTTTTGTCTACTTTTGCTACTCTTTTCAAAATTTCTGACATTTAATGATCTTTCAAGCAGTCTTCCTTCCCCTTCCATGCATTGCCTCAATAAATTTGTATCACTGGGAAGGTACAAGGACACTATCACTTCCAGCAGTTGAAAATAAATATAATCCTCTAATAAGGGGATATTTTCCATACTAGAAACCAGATTATTTGTTCCATAAGACATTTTTACATTTATTTTAAAGTGAAAATGCCATAGAGGCATAAAAGTGCTATCCATCTGCAATGAAAACATGGCATACAGTGTGCCTGAAGTAGTAAAAAGAGAATAATTCAGGTAAGTAGAGTATAATTTTGATGTAGACATTTGGTAACAAAAAAAGATATTCTGCTGAGTTCTTCCTTTTATTTTTCTGTAAAAACTCTTTTTAGAGAAAAATTTTAAAAGCTCAGAACCCAGTTGATAATTGTATTCAGATATTTCCAGTTGGAATGAATTCCTGTGACAGCATGAACATACACCCACCAACATAGCTGTAATAGAAACCATTTCAGAGCTAGAAGGCCAGAGATTTTCCCAGGGCCTCTCAGCAAGGCTGTGGTGGTCTTGGGGACTGATGCTTTTCATCTTTCCTGAAGACTGACACCTCCCAGTTGTCACCCCATAGGAAATCAGGAAGTATGCTAAGTTATCCAGTAAACTTAAAATTACACAGCATTGCGCTAGTGGAAATACCCTACCCAATGTTATGATTTATTTTGAAGGACAGTGGAAAAAAGAAAGAAAAAAACAGTGTAAAGGAGCTAAACTGTACACAACACAGCCAAACAGCTGGCTGGCTTTCTATCCGAGAGACGGGTTGAGACTGACTACTCACAAGATCTCTTGGCAGAGCATCTTGATGAAAATACCAAAGCTGTGAGGAGAAGTGTTCTTTTGTTGAATATTTTATGGCGCTATCATATGGCTGATTAATCTAAATGAGAAACATGTACACCTCTTTTGAAAAATTCCTGTATCTGTTTAAGTGACGAACCTACAGATTACTTATCTAGCACAAATGGAGTTCACCATAGTGTTAAACACCAAGAAAACCATGATGATTCTCAGAAATTTAATCCTAAACATACATAATTTCCTTTTCTTTTAAATAATATTTTGGGTTCAGTCGAAGGAGAATTTGAAAGAAACTGAGCATGAATTCAGGGTCACTGGTGACTTTTTTGGATGCCAAAATTAATTTCTAAGAAAAACTGGTTGCTATATTAGTGGGCATTCAGTATTTTAAGATCAGTATTTTAGGAAAATCTACATTCCGTCATCTTCAAATGTGTTAAGTGAATTTATTCTTCACTCAGTATAGCAGGTAGATTAAATTAGTTGGAAAATTTTATATTTTGATCATGAGACATTCTGAATCTATTCTTTGTAGCATCAGAATTAGTTTCTCATCTCAGAATTTGCTATATTCCTCTAGTGACTGAAGTAGTTTATTGGCTGTCAGTTTGTAAAAGGCTCACTAGGATTATCTAAATGCAAGATGATGGGAATGGAAATGCACACAATCACCTCTCTTGTCAAAAAATGTAATTGACACATGTGCTATGTCTTCTTGCAAAAGTGGATGAAAATTCCAAAAAGTGACCTCAACTCATAGCTCCTCAGTGCAAGCACACACTGTCCTGCAGCTGAACATCTGCTCTATCACAGAGCTCCCACTTCTAATAGTCCTGACTCTTCAGCCCTCTGCTCACATGTGCATAGCTGGGTCTCTGTGTGTACTTTCAGTTCAAAACCTACCTCTGAATATTTTGATTTGGTTAAATTTATTCTATAAGTAATAATTCATTTGTATAGTACAAGAAATGAAAGTACTATTTCCTATCAGTATATGAGAGTTTCCTTATTCTTTTTGTTGGTTGCACAAGATTCATTACATAGATACATAATTTACTTAACTGATCAAACATTGATGGATATTTGTTCATTCTAGCTGTTATGAGACAGCTCCATACACTTCCATCTGAGATCAGGGAACCAGTAATGTGTGGTTGTGTTTTTATGGGGACTGTCTTCCTTAATTGCCTCTTTTTATTAGACCACTAATTCCATTCATGAGATCCCTACTCTCATAACTTACATACCTTCCAGACACCCACTTCCAAATGTATCACATTGGAATTAAGGGTTCGATGTATAAATTTGGGAGAGGGGTATGGAAGCAGTTGGTGCCTTATATATATTGAGTCCATATGTAATACAATGCCAATATTATTTTATATCTATAGTATAATTCACAGGAATACAATTGCCAGGTCAAAAATTCCGTGTTTTTCTAATTTTCATAGTTGTTGCTAAATTAATTTCTGTGGTGTTTGTCCCATTTTACCTTCACACCCATATGTGCAAGAGGTATTCTGTAATGCATTCATTGCTGCCATCAGAGAATATTATTAATGTTCATGAGTATTTCAAAATTATAAAAGGGAATAAACTTATCAGCATGCTCCTAATCAATATCTGTCTCATTATGAGTTTCAATATTTTGTCAATAGTTTACAAGCCATTTATTTATATTTCTGTTTCTTTCAGTAGAGCCTCTTTATCATTTTGTTCATTTAGATGTTATGTTGTTGGTATTTTTCCTCATTGATTTATGAGAATTCTTTATGTATAGAGACATACTTCCTTTATTTATTACAGGGTTCTTTTGATTTTATCGAGCAGTTAATCCTTCATTAAAATTCTTTTTTCTTGAGATATCCCTATGAGTATTTGTTAGCTCCATGTTCCTCTGGAGGGAAGTTCCTTGGCATTATCTCCATTTTTACATGAAAAATGATCTGATTAGATTCTGTATTTTTCTGATACTAAATTACTTTCCTAAACAATTCACCATTCAGTCCAAGCTTAATCTGTTTTCTTACAATATATTTTTTCATAGAGTGTGTCATGGCTTTGGTAAATTTTTGTCTTCATGGTCTATCAACTACTAAAAAATAAATGAATCACAAAAAGAAAAAAAATATTGAAATTGCCTACTGTAAGCATAGGTTTGTGTGGTTTTCCTCCAAATCTATTAATCTTTGCTCCTTATATTTTAATAGAAATGTACTTAGATATATAGATATAGAGATAGGTAGAGATATAATAAGATGATTTCAAATTCAGAATAACTTTAAGATTCCTGTTTCTATCAAATATTTTGTAACTTTTGCTTCTCACTACATGTCAGATTGTTAAGTCATTCAGGGCACAATAATTTTCTGAAAGAGAATAATTGATTTAAGAATTTATGGATGTTTTAGAAAGGGCAAGATGACGCAGTGCATGGAACAGAGGAATATAGGCGATTGTAGGACACAGGGTAGAGGGTGGGGATGCAGCTCAGTGGAAGAATACATGCCCAGAGCCCCTGTACTGGTTCATTAATTAAAATAAAGAAAAGAGCTGTCTGCTTTTTTTTTTTTTTTTTTAAATAGTGTATAGAGAACATCTAAGACATATGCAAATGAATTGCATACCTACATGTTAAATGGATCCTGAAATACCTCAACCACTCCACTGTTTTAGGGAGTAAACATGACTAGATGCCTTCAATGGGAGAACAGGAACTTACTTTTATTTTCTAAGAAAAAGAGAACAAAACCAGATATTTAATTTTGGTAAACTTTTAAATTCTGTTAAAACTATTTTCTGTGTTGGATAGATTCACATTTCTTTGATCAATGGGAGACCGAGTGCTGACGACCCTTCTCCTGAATTGCTGGAGTTCACCTCTGCCCGGTACATTCGTCTGAGACTTCAGAGGATCCGCACCTTGAATGCTGACCTGATGATGTTTGCTCACAAAGATCCAAGAGAAATTGACCCCATTGTCACAAGAAGAGTAAGTTATGATGAATCATAATCGAACTTATGAATGCTATGGCATCTATCTTTTTAATTATCTGTTAAGGAACCTACAAAGAAATCTCAGTGATTTGTTGGCATGGTAATTATGGAAAATTCAAAAATTCAATAGACTTTCCTTTGTTCAAATATTAGCTCTGCCACTTACTAAGTGTACACTTAATACACATTTTATTTATCAAGTTTTTAAATATTCTTTTACTTTAATTTCCTCTTTTGTAAAAAATAATATCTAACTCATAATGCTTTTTAAGGTTAGTTTTCATCAATTTAGGTGATCTGTACTATTATTATAATTGGTGCTGGGGAGAAATTACTAAAAGTCAAAGCTTTAAAAATTCTGGGCCACAGCCCACACAAAGAAATTCATTTTATATCATGACCCAGTACACACAAACATACACACACAGGGATATGTCTTAAACTTGAATGTGTGTAGAATCAGCTGATGTTCTTGTGGAAATATAGATTTTGATTCAGTAGGTCTAGGGTGGAGCTGAGAATGTGCAATTCTAGAAAGTTCTAGAAAGTTCTCAAATGTCAATGTTGCTGGCCTATGGGCCATTTTGTCTCATCAAATATTTTTGTTCTATGGTCCAGCAATGAATCATGAGCCATAGTTTATGAAAGTACTGCTGTAGAGAAAAAAGAAATGATTCTACGTACTGTTTGATTTTCTTTTAAAAATAAAGTAATATTATGTACTACCTACAAAGCTACTACAACTTATGGAATTAAGTAGAATTGTTTATTATAGTAAAAGTTTACACTGTACTTCTGTTGATTATTTTGCAGAATGCAAAGCAATGTATTTTCCAGCAAGATTTACTTTTGGGTTCTTATTTTTTCTGAAAAATCTTAAATAATTTAACATTCTTTAATGTCCCCTTAACGTGTTGAATCTGGGTTAGAAGAGATTTTCTCCCCAAAAGGGTTCCATTTTTGATCTCTTTTAATCACTCTTAGAGATCCAGTTATAAATTCTAATAGTTCATGGTCTCCTGCGTCAGCACTAGCTGATTGTGAATAATAAAATCAGTTACTCTTTTCCTTTGGTAACGTGTAATTGCTGTGCTTTTGATATGAAGGATTGGCATTATAAGGAGCATTCTCTCCAGTCAGTTTTCCGTCACTTCAGAACTATGAGAATATCACAATACACAGTAAATGATTGTAGCAGTGCCCCCAGATGTTTCAATAGCGTATTGATCTTGGCACTTCTTAGCACTGTGGATCTATGTTCCTTGTGATGCCTCATTGTTTGTGAGTTTTTTAAAATAACTAAATGAAACTATAAATGTAGTTGTGTATCTGAACCAAGATGTTCTTTTTTTCAGATTCCTAAATTTCTATTTCCATTTCTTTCTTTCTTTCGGATTTGTTTTTCCTTGCTGAGTAGCAAAAGACTTATTTTTCACCTTCCTATACTTAAAAAAAGTATGAACATGGTGTTTTACTGATCTACATTATGGACTTTTAGCTGAAAAGTTTTTCTATACATACAATATCCTTGTTCAGTTTTATTGTAAACTGACTTACTGTAAGGTGTACTGTTGATGAGCTTTCCAGTGTGTGTTTAATACAAGTGATAAAATAAAACTTAAAAGTTTTTTATTTTTAAGACTAAGGAGAAAGATCATAAGCTTGAGCCTAGCCTAGGCAACTTAGCAATACCTGATCTCAATTTGAAAATTTAAAAAAGGGCCGGAGGTATAATTCAGGGAAGACACTGTGTTCAATCCCCAGATTGAAAAAAAATAGAAAAAACTCACAAAAGATTAAAGCGTCTTTCGTACAGATCTTTGACCAATGGAGCTAACAGAAGTGCTGCCTTCTAGCGTTAAAGTAAAATTTATAGATTTATAACATTGATGACCAGCTAGATTGCCTTGAATGATAATTGTGCTTCTTCTTGTCTACCCCATACCCATTCATTGGTTTATATTATCTCTTTTATGTAAAGCTATATGACTAAGACAGTATGTATTACCAAGAGATTCAATTCAGCCATAAATCCATAAGGCAAATCCATGCCCACAAGGTGTCTGCTATATTACTAAAAGCATAAGTTATGAAAGAGAATTAAAGAGAGGACACCATTGGATAAAGCACTTAGTTCTGCAAGGACTCTACTAAGCTTCTAACCTCTGCCACCAACTACCAAATCTCTATCACAGGCCCTGAACAATGAGTATTCTTCCCATGCTTCCCTCCTCCCGACATAACTGCTCCACACCTAACCTCTCCGTCATCACAAAACAACATTTAATGTTTTAATTATCCACTTGCAACATATGTCAGATATTTTTCTGCCTTGTGTTTTCCATTCCAAACGTGAAACAACTTTACCTTGTATTATATTTCAACTTACTGTCAATTGCCTTATGTAGAAGGAATCATTATTTTATAGCAATATTTAGATTTTTCATATTTAAAAAAAAATTATCTTTAACTCTAATAGTGGCATGGCTTAAGATAAACAGCAAGGAAGACTAAATAATATTGAAGTGAAATTTATTCATTGTTGAAAGTATATCTATCAGGGTAAAAAAATCAATGAAAATAAATTAGTGTTCCTTTTATCATCTTTTGCAGAAGGCAGAGGGAGAGTTAGGGTACACATCTATTATTTATAACTGTATTGTGCATGAGCCTTTAAAATACAGTACAAGCTAACATGTAAATATGATCTTTGAAAGTATTCAAGTTCAATAAACACTGCATACAAATTTAAATACATAAAAATAGAATATTGAATTTCTGGTCTTCTTCATGATTCTAAAGCAAAGAATTTTACATTTATATGTAAAATCAATTTCCAGTTTTAAAGGCATCCTCAGATATAACTGTGCCAGCATTTTGAGCACATATATCCATTACTATCTATATTATTAAACAATGAAGTTAAGTGCAAAGGAGAGTTTCACATTACTCAGATTTCCTAGCAGGATCCATTTGTTCAAAGTCTAGGTATATGAAGATAGTGTAAGAAAAATATTTTCAAAAGATACTGTATATAAATAATGAATGAGAAAGAGATGTAGAAGGAGGAGAGGAAGACAGAAGAAAAGAAAAAGGAGGACCAGGAACTGAGATTTTTTTCAACATACTTATTGTTCCTAAATCTGATTTTTTTTGTGTGTATAGTTGGGATAATAGAACCATACTTTATTAAGAGTGTTCTTTAGATATCATATAATAGTGCAAAGGGCTCTGACAATGATTAAATCTTATACACATATTAATTAAAATTTTAATATTAATCCACCTCTCTAATAGCAATAATCTTTAAAAATAGCATATAGATTAAAATATTAGGAACATATCCTTGTATTAGCTTCAGACAGGAAGGTAATTGAGGAAATTTTTTTGTTTTGTTTTGTTTTTTGGTACCGGGGATTGAACTCGGGTCCTTGCGCTTGTGCAGCTGGTGACGAAACCACTGAGCTAAATCCCCAGCCCGGTAATTGAGGATTTTAACATAATTATTAAAAAAAGCAAGTATTCTGAAGTTCAAACTTTCAGTGTTTTATCCAAACTTTCAAACCTTGAATAAAAACTTGTTAATAGCACGATTCCCATAAATTTATTGTTTCTTTTTCAAATCCATCCAGTAAAATCGCCTGGTTAATAACATATGAGTATTGAAGTTCCTCTTACCATAATTACAGAGATTTTCTTTCAAGAAACTATGTCTAATGGCTTTTATGAAAAATTATTGTCCTTAGCCTCAGATTAAAGACAAAACCAAACCAAACCAAAACAAAAACTATTGTTAGCAATGGGTACTCGAGCATGGCTTTTGTGTCACCTGTCAGGAAGTAATGTCTACAATGCCCACCTAACACAAATTGGAAGCATTCTTCCCTGAGACTATGACTGCAAAGCTAGGGTTGCTTTATCCATTTTGTGAGCCCTAGCTTATCCTCAAGAACCACAAACATGCTTCCAATGAAGCCTGAGAGCAAAAACTAAAATTGTAACTGAATATCTCTTTTGTTACTTTCACCTTGCAGCCATCCTAATAGGATTTCTCTCTGAATTGCTTTTTGCAGTATTACTACTCTGTCAAGGATATTTCGGTTGGAGGGATGTGCATCTGCTATGGTCATGCCAGGGCTTGTCCGCTTGATCCAGCCACAAATGTATGTATATTTATAGGATGCTTAGGGGAAATGCAGTGCTGAACTGTAAAATGTTTCACAAAAAAGGTTTGCTGACAGGGAACCCTGTGAATGGGTGTTGGTTCCCCACTTAGACAGTGTAAGAGAAAGCCATGCCAGGGTGAAATGGAGCTGGCAGTTAAGATGATAAACTTTGAAGTCAGCCATCACAGTATCAGAAAACAGAGTAGTTTTTTTTTTTTCCCCCCAAAAAAAGATTCCTAACTCGTATCTATTTTGAAGCCTGTCTTGCTCTGACAGCCTCCTGGATGATTTAGCTTTAGAGAATGTCTGCCATCAGTCAACCTGTCCATTTCTTTTAAAAACTTTAATAAAAAAATTAATGCAAATAAATGAAACATGGATATGGAGGTAAATCTATAAATGGCCATGGAATAGGAGGCTGAGGCAAAAAGGAGAGGAGCAGAAGAGAGGATTCCAGAGAGTATCCTCCCAGGGCAGAAAATGCTGGAATGCTTTTGATAGAATTTTTCATTCATAAAAGTGTATAAGGTGCACATAATCCACAGAAGATGAATGAGCATCTATTTTTCTTGTCACAAATAAACTGGTGAAATTCAAAACTATCTGCCATGCAGTGTATGGAAGAAATATATTAAATAGGAAGATGGATGAATGATAGCAGGATCATGCTTGGTATTTCTGTTTTTGTTTTTCCTCTACCAAAACTATACCACAAACGATGTCAGCCTCAGAGGCAGATTTCTAGGTAATGGATTATAGACTGTTATCTCCTAGGGTGATTTCAAAGCCCCAGCATATTTTCCTGGCGAGGTGGTGGTGCTGCTTGCTGCGTGCCCTGTGTTCGCTATCGGGGGCAGTGGTGGACAGTGTTCCCCAAGCTGTGAGAGTCGGCTGGGCAGCCTTCCTTGGAAGGACATTTGCATGTGGTAAATTGAGACTACTCAGAGCTCACACACACACTGGGGGTTTAATCCTGGAGACGCTGGATTTCTGTTCTTCCTATGCCCTTGAGAGGCACAGTTGGGCGAATCCAGTCTCCTCTTTGCCGCATCCAAAAATGTTAGCAGCACTCAAGGAATGCCTTAAAATAAACACATCTGTCCCAGAAAATCTGCAGGCCCCAGGGATCAGAGCAGGAGAATTCAGTCTTCAAGGCCACTTCCCATTAGGCCTCTTCCTTTCTTCCAAACATAAACCCAGTGATTCCAGCACAAGCCTGGACCACCCGAAGCTAACGTTGATCAAAGGGACCCATCCCAAGGCAGGCGCCCTATGCTGCCCAGTCTGAGAGGAATTTTACATTGCAGTGCACATCGCAGAAGTTTTCTCTTTCCTCGGTACTACTTTTCAAAGAGACATCCACTTTCCCTGAAATTCTAATCAATGCTCAAAGTGTGCTCCCCCCTTTCTCTGGGTAGAAATCGCGCTGTGAGTGTGAACATAACACGTGCGGTGACACCTGTGACCAGTGCTGCCCAGGGTTCCATCAGACACCATGGAGAGCTGGGACCGTCCTGACAAGAACGGAATGCGAAGGTACACTCTAGGGAGCCCACAGAGCCGACACTGTACTCGTGCTGGGACACAGGGGTACAAACACGTGGTGACTGCAGGGAAGCTCCTGTTTCTAATTTGTACGTTTATTTCATCCAGTGCAGGAGCTGGTAAATTCTTTACTCTGTTCTCTTAGCCACTTACTTCTCCAAGAGTTTTGTTTTATTACTTGGAAATATTCGCCATACCTCTGGATTTACCATTGTGTGAGGATTATGGGAAACATGTAAAAGCATACTGCACACTTACTGCTTTTAGGGTGAACCCTTATAGCATAATATATACACAGACCAATGGAATTGTAAATAAACCTGGGTTGTACAAACTAGCCTTCTAAGCAGGCATACTGGTGAAATGGTTCCCAAACATGTATTTGCTTCAGCTCATTTGAGGTCTACCCTCTTCAGCTCTATTTTCTACCCCTTTTCCTGAATACTTACCACCTAAAAAAGGGAGGAAAATCAGGGTGAAATTCATTCCTCAGGATTCAATAGTTATATTTCCTAGAGGTGACATTTGGAGGCAGTAGTTGTGAATGGTGTAAGAGTTTTGTCACCTTTTGGTGACAAAGGCAAGAGATACAATTCATGAAAATATGAATATTTATTTGTATAAATCTGACATAAATATTTATGGGCACCATATGATGTTTTGATACATGTACATATCTTGAAATGTTTCAATTAGGGTAAGCATATCTGTCTCCTCAAACATTCATCATTTCTTTGTGGTGAAAACATCCAAAATCTTATAGCTTCTTCAAAATATACAGTATGTTATTATTTTCTATAATCACCCTACTGTTCCACAAAATGTCAGTACTTATTTCCTCTAAGTATACATCAGTACCCACTGCAAAATGTTTCCTCATCTCTTCCTTCCACATACACCTCCCACTGTCTTGTGCCTCTATTCTACACTCATCTTCCGGAAGATCAACTTTTTTAGATTCCACACATCAGGGAATTATGTGATATTTGTCTTTCTGGTCCTGTCCTATTTCACTTACTGTAATGTTATCCACTTCCATCATGTTATCACAAATGGACGGTTTCATCATTTCAATGACTTAACAATATTCCATATTTTCCTGATGTGTTCTTCAGTTGATTCCATATATTGGCTGTTGTGAACAGTGCTGAAATAAACATGGGGGTGTCCGTGTCTGCTTGTCATACTGATTAATGATAGATGAATATATCTTTAAAATATAGTTTCTGAGTAGCAACCATCTAGAGCTACTCATTAAAACTACACTAGTGATAATCATTAGCATGACCTTGCAATACAGTTACTGGACAGTGACCCCCAAGAAATATACCACTAATGAAAAATAATAAAATGACTGGCTATGCAAATGTGTCAGTATGTACTCATTTATAATTTATCACTTAGAAGTCAAGTGAATGTAGTTTTTCTAAAGGAAATACCTAGGAAGTGAAGTAGCTGAAATTACAGCCTAATACTGCCCAACTGGGCCAACATGGAAACAGGGATGCTTGAGAAACTTATGTTTCTGGAGATTTTCCCAAGCTACACAAAGACCTTAGAGCAGACTTGGGCTAGACTATAAACCCAAACTGCCATGAAGCCCAATTAAACTGAATTTTAATCATGATATTTTGGTAAATAAACCCTAATCATATAGTTTCATTTTAACAGGCTTTAAGGATTCCAAAACAGGTTGTGGATTTCTTAAACTAATCTCAATACTATATATTCATTCAATGCATAATAATGCAGCTCATATTTATCATACATCACTTGTTAGACCTGATAGGTCTTCAAGACTATTGAATCATAGTATACTTTAACTGTAAAATTTTCTCCAGCCATAAAGTATGTTTCTTTCTCAGTTTAAGATGCTACATGAGCTATCAGCTTCGGCACTTACATCATTTGCCTTTTGATTTGTGCCTGCCTTTGTGTAAAGCTATTTTTGAACTGGACATTTTTCATAATCAGTGGGACATATCCAGAGACACGGACCACTCTGAATGGCCACCCACCATCGCGAGTTTTCTTCAACTACGCCAGCCTCAAACCAGTGAATACTTTTGGTTTTCCAAAACTTCTCCGATCCATTCCTGCAGATGACTTTATATGAAATTCCACACAGGAATACTTCCTCCCAAATGCCTTTAAATGTGTCCCCCTTTTATGGAATATCAACAATCACAAGTGAGAGAGCTTTTGAGGGTCGAGATTCTTTCGGTTGCCTCCTACACCATAGCACATGGAATTACATGTTATGCGCATTTGCAAAATCTTTTACTGCCCACCCCTGGTGTATCTAGGTCTAAACAAATGCACAAAAGAAGGGCTGATCAACTTTTTGGCAAGAGAGGAAGAGTAACACAAAGCAAAAGATTTTCCTTTAAATCTTTTAAATATTGGCATTACAGAACAATTTTTCCTATTTTTTGTAGAGTAGAAGGGAGATTGTGTTTCCAAACTGAAAAAGAAACATTTTAAAAACCCAGAAATTAAAGATGGGCATCTAAGCCATAAAATGCTACATAAACACTGTAGTTTTGGCAATCCGTGTATTTCTAAAAGCAAAAAGTTTTTCTTTTCCAACTTGAATTGCACCACCTAGGAAAATTCTGCTGTGACATGATAAATCCCTCTATAAAATGGATGATCACCTTCTAATTCATTTGGATTTAATTTGGATTTTCATCTAACTAGTTTATTTAAGGCAAGATACAAGTATATCTCTAAAGAGCACTGAATATTCATGCCATGGCTAAGCCTTTACTTAAAGAATGGTTTCCTAGCTCGTGTCTCAGACAGTCTGAAATAGCAAGTTGCTGATGCCAAAGCAGAAAATGGCTCTGTGTCAGCAGGTCCTATCCTTATTCTATGCTGCTGTGGATTGAGAGCTGGCGGGGGCAGCTGATAGACCAACCAGGACTGCAGTGTCCAGGGTCCTTGCTGCAGGAATATCCAGAACCCTATTTCCCAGCCACCAGTATTTTGCCTGCATAACACAAGGCAACGACAATTCTAAATAGTGTCAGAATAAGTCTGTATCACACTACATTCCCCTCTATGTATACTGGCAGCAAGAACCTTCATTTTTTGGAATGCATTTCTAAAAGAGGATGTTTAAGTATTCTTGGGTATAATCCTCCAGCTATGAAGCTATTTATAATGTGTACAGATTCGTACTTATTACTGTGTGTTCCCTAAAATAAAGTTTGAAACTCCACTAACGTAGTAAAAATATCATGTTCTAAATCGAGTCAACAAACTGGGGAAAATATTTGCAACAAATATGGCAAGGGGTTCATATCCTTCTGTATTAGAAGATCTCATATATCAATTAGAAAAATCCTATAAACCTGTTTAAAATGAGCAAAGGTCAAATTTTTTTCTGAGAAAAAAAAATAACTTTTACAACCTAACCAAGAAACGATTACCCTCATATTTGGAAAAATATCAATTAAAATTTATCAAAGTATGTGTTCACCTACTCAACAAATACTTGAATGTTTAATGCTATTCAAAGTATTGACAAAATACAATATCGCCGAGGCTATTGTTGTGCCCAGATTGCGAAGTCCCAAAGACCACCAGGAGGCCGTTTCCGATGTAAGCACACGAGGGTCGTTTATTCAAGCTTAAGCAGGGACTCTCAATTGTCACCAACACAGTGGATCGAGATTGAGAGCCCCGAGTTCCAAATTCGCAGGGTTTTTATTACAATTACAACAAGCTTTGGTCATTAGCAGCCATATGATTGGTTAACATTTAGCAAGTATGAAGTGTAGAATTTTGATTTGCTAGGCTCATTGGGGGTTGAAGGGAATTACGTATAGGTTTTTACAAGAAGAATGGGGACAAAGGTTAGTGGTCTACTGTCACGTATTGATGGTCAGCAGACATCCTGACTAATGGCCACGACCACCCTGTGTGGACAGTCAGCACGTTAACAGATTGTCCTATAGATAGTGGGCCCGGGACATTTGTTTCTAGGGCAAACAGATGGCTGAGTAATAAAATTAGGAATCCTGAGTTGTGGATTACGTCCTTTGTCCCAGTTCAAGCACTAATTTGAGAGAACAAAGGAGACTGCTTCATTTTGGACAAAATGGAGTCATTCTGGTCCCACATTCACAAAATGGAGTCACTTTTGGTCTCACACTATAAGGAAATGTTGTCATCACATCATCTGTGGAGAGAGTGATTTAACACAGTATTTCTGGATGGAAAATTTCAAACCACTAAAATTTAAATTTATATGCTAATTGGCCAGAAGTTCCACTTCCATAAATTTTACCTTTGCATGCTACACAAGTCGTATTATCATCTGTATCATTCAATCCATTCTACTTCTGTTATTTATTGAGATATTTCCTTTGTTTATAGCATTGTCCTAAGTATTTTGCCTTTGCAAAACAACTGTAAGGATGAATAATAACACATCTTTAACACTTGAATCTCCAGCGTCACACAGCTGACAAACAGGAAGCAGGTGAACATCACACGCAACACCCCAGCCCTCTACCTCGAGTACTCCCACCATCTGTGCAGGGTTCTCTCTGCAGAGAAACCTGGAAACTGCAACCGTCCATCACAGGGACTTGGCGGGGCGCACCATTCCAGTAGCTCCCCATGTAGCCTTTGGGGGATGCTTATGCTAATACGGAGATCACAGCACAATTTGCTGTTTGCAAATACAGTGGTTCTGCACCGTATATAAACGCCGCCCTTAAGAAATAAGAAAGAATAGGACTGGATGCGCATGCGCACACACTCACACAGAAATCAGTGTAAGGACAAGTAACAGACTCAACATTTTGGATAGGAAGGATTCTCTGTATGAGCATCTGTCTATAGTTCCTGCTCTAATGTAAATGTCCCCTATTTTTTGAAGTCTTTTCTGGGAAAAGTGATTTTTTACTGTCTTTAAATTCCTATAATGTAAAGTGAAAAAGACAAGCAGGATAAAGATGAGGACAAATCAATTGAGAACTTACTGATAAGGCATTATTATGCTAATGATCTGACATGCATTATCTCACTTGATGCCTGTAACTATCCCTATCTGGTGATTACTAGTGACTACCTCATGTTTTATTTGGAAACTGAGTCTTAGTGAAATTAAAATGTTCCTTCCACCACATGACTGCTAATAAGAGGAGAGGACAGCAACATCCAGTACAGGGAGCTGCTCTCATTTTGTCCTGATAACTGGACACCTACCTTGTATTTCACTCACCAGGAAAAATGTAAAGGTTAGGAGTGCAGATTCTGGAAACTGACTTCACCTCTTTATTTCCGATGCTGATGAGGTTCTCTTTGATGAGTTACTACACTTCTCTTTGGCTCAGGTGCCTAAAATAAGAAAAGTAGTTTATTTCAATTATAATCAGTCATAAGCAGTAGAACAATTGGAAACAATTAGAAGAGAGTCTGCCACATTAAACAAGAAGATTTTGGTTGTTATAGTTTAGTTGTTAGAAGAGAAGAATGACACTCTACAAGTTCATTTTTACCTATAGAATCCAGCACAGAGATTCACATATGGTGATTATTCATTGCAGACTACCTGGTTGTCAGTCATTCAGGGCTATTTTTCAATAATTTATTATGTGCCACAATAGGACATTGTGTGCTGAACCATAAGAAGTTGCACATTTATATGTAAAATATCAGTAAAATATTGGCAATTTCAATTTCAATTTATGTTTAATTATCTCATTTCATTAAAAGTCTGAATTAATTAACATCCAATAAATCCAAATACTCTCTAAATACATATATTTGTATATATCCTAAATGTATAACAGAAAATAATTTTAAACATTTGAAACCTGAAATTAATGTTTACTAATGTATTTGTTTCCTAATGTAGCATGTAATTGCCATGGAAAAGCTGAGGAATGCTATTATGATGAAAATGTTGCCAGAAGAAATCTGAGCTTGAATATACATGGAAAGTACATCGGAGGGGGTGTGTGTATTAACTGCTCTCAGAACACTGCTGGGATCAATTGTGAGACTTGTGTTGACGGCTTCTTCAGACCCAAAGGGGTAAAGTCTACTTTCCTGTCATAAAGTCTTAGTTTTGTTTTTTCATATGCAAAAGATGTGCAGAAAAATAATTTGTGTAGCTTCTCTAAAATGTTGAGCTTCAAATTCTAGGAGGAGACTAGGAACTTTTCATAATTAAAATGATAAAAATCTTTAAGAATGTGATACAAAACATCCTGATTACTCCAGAAAATTCCACTGGGAGTCACTCCCGTCAGTCCCCACCCCCAGAAAACTAGGACATGGATTCATTTTAGCTTTTAGTTAACTTCAGAGAAATGAATTTAAGTGGTTTACAACTAGTTTGTGTCTTCACCCTTTTGTTTATAATGTTTTAAGATTTATTCATGTTGTGTATATTGTTAAAGTAGTTCTATTTAAAAATTATGAGAAATATTCTGCATGACTACACAAAATTTAATCCTTTCACCCATTGATGTATATTTGGGTTGTTTCCAGGTTTTGGTTTGCTGCTACAAATAACCTTATACAAGTCTTTTTATGTCATTTAAAAATTTACCTTGTGCAGAAAACCTAGGACTGAAATGATTGTCTCAAAGGACAGATATACATTTAACTCTACCAGCAACTGCTGAAAAATTTACCAAGTTACTAATAATATTTTACATGTTCACCAAAAATGTCTGATTTTTAAATGTGTTCCAGTTGTTTCATATCACCAATAACATTTGAGGTTGATGACCTTTTTCAATATTAGACATTCTAATGGTCATGGAGTGGCATTATGACACAAATTCTCATCTTATGTAATTCTTAGCCATTGCTGTTATCTTTGCTCATGAAGTATCTATTAAAGTCAAGATATTATTCTTTATTTTAGAAACTTCTTAATTCTACCTTTTAGAAAAAATTTTCAGTAAATCTTTGTGTATGGTGTGCAATAATGATGAGATTTTGACAGGTGTTTAAATCAGTTGTTGCAGCAGCATGTAATGTGATCATGTTACAGAGATCAGTTTCTTCAATCTCGATTCATTGTCTCTGCTCATCTTTTGCTAGTGCCATACTATCTTGATTATATTAGCTTTAATAAACTTAGAGATAAGTAATGTAACTGGACTAGCATTACGTTTCATTTTGAACATTGTTTTGTTTATTGTAGGTTTTTTGCATTTCCATATTACAGAAAATATTACTTCAGATTGTTGTTTGGAATCAATGTACAAATATGGAGAAAATTAACAGCATCAGAATATTGAATCGTTTAATCAATAAACAATATTTTCTCTATCTATATCTTCTATAATTATTCCTAATATTTTTGCAATAGAGAGCTTGTATCTTGGTTAAATTTAATTTTCAGTATTTCATTGTGAATTATTTTAATACTATTTAAAAATATTTTTCAATTCTTTCATGCTATTATTAGAAAAAAATTTGAATGCTAACTTTATGTTCTATATTCATCCAAAATTCATTTATTGGTTCTTGTAGTTTTAAACTAGATCCTTTAGAAGTCTACCCATAAACTGATACCTATAAATAAATTCAAGCTTGCTTGCTTGTTTTCTTACAGTATTTATGCCAATGTTAAGTAAAAATGGTGAGAGTGGACATTTTTTATTTTGTTCTCGATCTTAAAAGGAAGCATAATAATTCATCATGAGTTGTGGACTTTTTATGGTTGCCCTTTATAAGATACAGCAACTTCCCTACTATTCCTAGGTTGCTGAGTTTTTATTATAGTTATTGCATTTTGATAAATGTATTTCTGCTCTGCTGAAATAAATATAAGTATTTTCTTCTTATCCCTTAATACAATCAATTTTCATTGATTGATTTATAAAATATTAAATTAGATTTGCATTTGTGGATTCAATTCCACATAATTATGAATATTACCATTTTCATGTATTGGGTGATTTTATTTAGTAAAGAATTCCTGTATCATCATACAGGGATATTGGTGTATAGTCTCATTTTCTTGTAATGTCTTTGTTTCTTTGTGACATACTAATCTCAAAAAATGAGTTTGGGAAATGCTTTCTCTTCCTCTGATTTATAAAATTATCTGTGTAAAATTGGAATTAATTTTTTAAAAAATGTTTCATGCAATTTTAAGATAGAATTCCCTAGTGAAATTATCTGGGCCTCTTGCTTTCTTTGTATAAATAAATTTGATAATGCATTCAATTTTTATTGCATGAAAGGTTTGGTAGGTTTTATATTTTTCATAAGTTAATTTTGATATGTTGTATTTTTAAAAGCCCTTATTTCAACCAACTAGTGAAAATTTTGCCATAATTTAAAAAATATATTTCCTTAGCATTCTCAAAGTGTAAAGTATCTATATTGAAGTAGCATTCTTAAAGTGCAAAGTATCATCTTCTTAATTCCTAAAATTTTTACATCTCATTTCTTCATCCTTTTTTCTGATCGTTTATGCTTGTAGTTTATCAATTTTCTTAATCTTTTAAAAATATTTGCCTTTTCCTGTATTTACTGATTTCTGCTCTTAAAGTTATATTATTCCTCCAATCTGTTTTTTGTTTAAATGTCTTGTTATTTTACTATATATCAATTTGGTAATTTATCACTTTTAAATCTCTCTTTTATAAGGATTTAAATATACATTTCCTTCTAGTCAGTTTTTTAGTTGCTTGCCATGAATTCAGAAATTCTTTATGTTTTTATGTTCATTAGCACTTATTTAAAATAGTTTGGAATTCCTTTTATGAAATCTTCCTTGTTAATTTCCAAATGTTTAGTCTTTTTTTTTTTTTTTGATATGGGGGATCGAACTCAGGACTTTGCTCTTGCAAGGCAGGCTGCCGCAGCACTGAGCTAAATCCCCGGCTCCAAATAGTCTTCTTAAGTGTCGTATTTTTATTGAGCTCTATATGACTAACTTACAGTATAACATATTGTGTAAAACATCATACTTTGAAGTTTATTGAGATTTAGTTCAAGACTCAGTTCGTGGTCTTTTGGTGATCCAACATGTACATTTGAAGTTGGCCTGAACTGGTTAACTCCCATAAATACAGATTTGTCCAATTACAACTGGATTCCTTTCTTTCCTTTTGTTGTATTTCTTTATGGCTGAGTAGTACTACTCCCTAGTATAAAAAAACACATCTTCTTTATCCATTCATGGGTTGATAGGCATTTGGGCTATTTCCAACATTTGGCTATTACAAACTATGTCACTATAAACATGGGTGCACATATACCACTGTGGTATGATGCTTTTAATTCTTTTTGGGGAGATACCCAGCAGAGGAATAGTGGGGTCAAATGGGACCTCTAGTTTTAGTTCTTTGACGTGTCTCCACACCAGTTTCCACAGTGATTGCACCAGGCTGCACTCTCACCAACAGTGGAGAAGGGTTCCTTTCTCCACAGCTCCAGGTGCACACATATTTAGAATCTTTCATATTTGTGTACTTTTGTATCATATAACTAGAGCTTTTAATAATTATGAAGATCTCTACTTAATCTCAGATAAACTTTTGCTCCTAAAATCTACTTCCTGTCCTAGTGAGAGTTGTAACAGCTTTCTTATGCTAACTCTGTATCTGTCTCAATTTCTTACTTTCAACCTATTGTTATTTTATTGTAAAGCAGACCTCTTATAAATATAAAATAGATGTGTGTTGCTTTTTATCCTGTTGTCTTTTTAAATTGTGTGTTTAGTCTTTACCAGTGATAGCTAACCTTTTAGAGCTTTCAAGGATACCAGCAGTCCAGTGCAGCATGTGTGCCATAGGTTGGCCACCACCGGTCTACATCTATATAATTAATTAATATTATGTTGGGGATTTTGCTATATGTTTTTTCCACATAACATTCTTGTTTTATTCTGTATTCTTTGTGTTAAACAAATGTTTTTCAGTATGTTATTTCTGCTATCATATTTTAGCTATGTCCCCTGGTACTATCTTTTTTTTTAGTTTATGTGTTAGTGATTACAATATACATTCTTAACCACTTTTTATTCAGAGTCACTAATACTTCATGTACAGTTCAAACTGCAATAGTGTAGTTCCACCTATATCTACCTGCTGGGTCTGTTTTCACATGTTGTGCATAAACTCCCAGTAAAAACTAGTAATTTTTCTTTGAACTGACCCCCCCAAAAAAAGAAATGCAGAGAAGAAAATGATGATTTTACACTATCTATCTATCTATCTATCTATCTATCTATCTATCTATCTATCTATCTATTCAACCACTTCCAGTAACCTTTATTTATCTTTATATCTATTTCTTTTTTGCTTGAAGATTTCCTTTTAGCATTTTTTTTGTAGCACAGAACTACTGGTGACAAGTTCTCTCAGATTTTTTTAAAATCTAAAAATGTCTTTACTTTCATCATTGAAGAGTATTTTCATTGTAGATAGATTGTAGGTATTTGGATTTTAGCACCATAAAAATGTGCCGCCAGTATTTCATTGATTCTTCAGAGAGCACAGCAATTATCTGTATCTTTGTTTTTCTATGTGTAGAATTTAATGTATCTTTGTCTTAGTCACCTTCTCCTCACTAAGAATACCTCGTCTTCACAAATCATAGGAAGAAAGGTTTATTTCAGCTCACAGCCTATAGAGGCTTCTATAGTGGTCTGGTTCCAAGGCAGGTAGCAGTGCAGAGAGGGTGATAGAGGGACAAGGGAGCAAGAAGCAGAGAGAGATTAAGGGAGGAAGAAGGAGATACATAGACTCTTCCAGGCCATGCTCCAGGGACCACCTCCTCCAAGCAGTCTTTACCTCCTAACATCACATTTAGGTATCAACTCATCAGTGGATGAATCCACTCATAAGTATCACACTTCTGTGATGTTAGATTAGATCATGGATTGTACCTCCCCAAAGCCTCACCTATGGGCTAATAAAGCTTTAGGGGAGCATCTAGATATAAATCATAACAATCTTTAACTCACTAGCTAATTTTAACATATTCTCTTTGTGTTTGCCTTTCGGGAGTTGTGCCACTTATTTGAAAACTGCCATTTAGACCTATCTGGCCTATGGCTTATTTGTATATGGTCTGCAGGCTAAACCTTTTTTTTTTTTTTGGCATTTGTAAAGGTTTGTTAGAAGAAGAATGTGAAGAGAGGGAAAAAGATAAGGGTAGAAGGGGATGAAGAGAAAGAGACCTTATATGACTTACAAAACCACATTTCACTATTTGTCTCTGCAAAATGTATTCTAACCTCAGTTAAACTCTGTTATGTTTATGTTTGATTTCTTTGTGATTATCTTGCTCAATTCACTGAGCTTCATGGAGCAATAAATTGAGAGTTAATTCCACATTTAGGAAATTTTAGGTTCTAGCTCCTGAAAAATACTTTTCAACCCATGTTTTCACTTTTCCTTCTAGTGGTCCACCTACATGCATATCATGTTCCTTGACTGTGCCTGATAGGTTAATGAGACCGTGCTGTTATTTTGAAAAGAATTTTCTTTCTCTGTTCTTTATACTTGATGACTTATCTGCTATACATCATTAGTTTGAAGAGTTTTCTTCTTGTCATTTATAATCTGACATTAAACACAGTCAGAGAATTTTTAAATTGAGATACAAGGGTTGATCAAAAAATATAGTGTGTGTTTAGAAGTAAACAAAGTTCTTACAGTAAAAGATACTCTGCTCTTAACTGCCCTCAAAATACTTCCCCTCACTTCAAACACAACTATCCCATTGTTCTCATCACTTTCTGAGGAAGTTCTGGAAGTGGGCTTCAGTGAGTGTCTTTACACCGTGCGGGAAAAAAACAAAGGTGATGCAGGTGCCACGTGACATCCAATAAAAAGGCAGGCTACAAAAACATTGTGTTGTGTCCTCACATACCTTATTCACTGGATCTAGCACCATAAGATGTCAGGGTTTTCCCCAAATTCAAAATGACCATTAGAAGTAAAAGTTCTGAATTGATTCAAGACCGAGGCAGCCATTATGGTGCACCTAAAGACACCCAGGAAAGAGGACTTCCAGAACTGCTCTAGAAAGTGGTAAGAATGATGGGATAAATGTATTTGAAGCAGGTGGCGGTGGGGGGAGGGGAGTGTTGAGGTAGATTAATGGCAATGTGTCATTAACTGTAATAAGTTTTTAAAATGTAGCATTCACTCTATTTTCCCCATCATACCTTATATGTACATTTGACTATCAGGCATTATATTTCTTATAGTTTCTGTTTGTCTGCTAAAATATTTATGCATTCACTCATTATAAACATTTGTTTTCTTTATGTTTCGGATATATTTGCAATACATGCAATTAACACTTCAAAGTATATTTTTTTCAATACCTGGGTCATCCTAGGATCTACTTTTATTGACTTCTTTTTATTATATAAGTATCTCTTTTTATTTGTTTACTTGTGTCTTTTAATTTATTTTTGTTATAGTGAAGATTAAACTTGAAGGTGCTGCACCACTGAACTACATCCCCTGCCCCTTTTTTTGTTAAATTTTGAGACAGGGCCTAGCTAAGTTTCTCAGGCAGTACTTGAACTTGGAATTTTTCTGCTTGGCCTGCCCTGGCTGTTAGGATGTAATTATTGTTTTTCAGGACATTCTGGATAATGCAATGGACCCTTGACTCACAAACTCGATGGTTCCCAAGGGCTGGTTGTAACTAAGTCATTACAGCTGAGATCTGGATGTTTACCGGGGTACACACTATAGGTAACAAGAGGCAGATGAATCTTCCATCAACTTAATTAACCCAAGGTGTCCGTACGTCAGGCCAGTCATAAACTGAGGGTCCACTGTCCAGTGTGGAGCTCCTACATTCTGTTATCTTCCTGTGGAGGTTTTGAGTTGTGTTCTAATTAGTAAGCTTACTGAGTGACACTGGAAACTTGTGAAGGTTTTCTTTTATATTTGTTAGAACACACAGAAAGCTTGGGGTATTTATTTAACATTTCCAGCTTGGTTGATTGAAACTCCAATTTCTGTTTATTTTATCATCTGAAAATTTTGCTCAGCCTATTCAGCTTTCCAGAATTGCTTTTCCCTGGATTCCTTGGTGTCTCTTGGGCACTTATTTAACAACGGATTGTTAAGTGTTTGACAGGTACATTTAGGAAGAATTTGGTTTTGCCCCTCTCTCAGGATAGATATTCTTTGGTGTATTTTTTTTTTTTATTTTCAAACATCACATTCTTCTAGTTTCTGCCTGATTTTCATTATTCACACAGGTCTTCAGATAATTTAATTTTTATGTCTTGTCCAGGATTTGTAATTTATCATTGTCATCTGATGATGTATTATTCTCATACAAGACACAATACTAAATCAGACCTGGAAGCTTGATTAAGTTTTTATTACAAGTCAAGTAATTAAGTGAATCTGCATGAGATTTTGGTGTTTTGATACTTGTAAAAATACTCTTGCTAAATTAAATTTTTTATATGCAATATTGCAAGCACTTAATATTGGGATGAAGTCCATAAAGCTATGAAAAGAAAGTTTTGTGTACTGGAACATAACTTATTTCTATGATGGTTTTAAAATTGTTTTCTCAAAAATTGATTTTACATTTATGCACTAAATATATAAATTTGATACATGTTAGTATTTTATATATGAAATATATATATATACAGTGATTATTTAGAGGCTTGACTTATAATCTGAGTTATTTTGATAAAATTAAAAATGAGTGTAGACATATTTGTAGAATCTCATAGACCAGCTTTCTTGATGAGCTGTCTAATTCAAGCAGATTTTTCCAATGACTACAGATGTGATAGTGGATAGAAGGTCTTGGCTTACTGAAGCTCATCATTCAGATTGTAAGTCATATTTCTAAAAGTCAAATTTTTATACAAAACAACATTTTTGTAGTATGCCACAGTTTTTTTTTAACGTCCTCGTGTTTTCTCTGAGTAGAAGGCCTTTCTTCTCCAAATTCTACTCTCAAATTGCTACTCATATTTGAAGCTCTAGTAAAAATGTTAAGCTTCCTTCAAAACACTGCTTGATTTCCTTGTGTTGTAATATTTCTTCATCCCATAAGGCTCTGACGGTGTGTCTGTTTCAACACTTAGCATATTCTCTTTAGTCATTGTCTTTCAGATCTTAATCCTGTAAGTTTAAGGCAAGGACCAGGCCTCCAATTAATGAAGTGATAATCCTTACTTCATAATGGAGAAATGAATGTGTTTAAACAAGTGATGACTTTGAAACTGCTGTATGAACTTATTTAATCCATATTCAATTAGATATGTAAACAACTCTAGTTTTAACGCCTTCAATTGTACCAGCTAACAAGTTTCCACTTGTAAATTAAACTTATGTATATTTATGTATGTACATGTGTGTCCATATGTATATATGGATACACATATATATGTGTATATATATATGGATACACATATATATGTATATATGTTTGTACACTATATTCAGCACCGTTTCAGTATTTCCTGGACAACTAATTTATTTTGGTTCTTTTCCTACTCCATCTGGAAAACACATGTAGTATGTACATCATATGAGCATAGTGTAAGTTTGTTTAAAATAAAACAGTAAAAGCTACTAGTTATGTTATGTCTTTAATATATGCCAGGAGTCTAATGAGATGCTTTTTGTATTATTCCTTTTAATAATTTACAGAACACTTTTGTATTTGTTTTTATTAACCTCCTATTACAAGGAAGTAAATAAATTGCACAATACCACTTAGTTCTTAAGTGCCTATCCTGGGATATGAGTTCAAGTTTTCCAAATTACACAGTTTTCATTGTTGCCTCTCTGGTTATACAGCCTCTTAGAAAACCAAGTTTTTAATTTAAATATTTAATAGTATTTTAGTACACCAAACACAGATTTCTATTTAAATAATCATATCATGATCAATGTGAAAGAATTTCTTAAAAATAAATTGGGCAGAAACTTTACATTGCTAATTTTGAGCTATGTTGTAATAAAAAGCAAAACAACCAGGAAGACACTTTATGGAATATAATTAGACTATACAAACAAATATTATCATTATTTCCTTGTTATAATAATAATACTCTGGTGAAAAAAGACAGATGCATCCTTAAATGTGAAGAGATTCAAAGCTTTTTATGGTCAATTTCTTCTAAAACTGCAGCAAAGGCTAGAAAAAGATGAAACTCACATGGCAAAATCTTGATAGTTGTCGAATCTAGGTAGCATATATTAAAAGTTTATTGTGCCATCTTCTTTACTCTGTGTATATATTGAGAAAGTTGGATTTTAGAATTTCCAAACATGTATTAAAGGTAACATTTTATGATTTTCTCAAAATAATTTATACTATAAAACTAATTTATCCTTAAAATTTGCCGAATTGAAAAATTTTGGTGTTTTTATTACGTTTGACTGAAAGCTTTTTAATATTTCTGTTAGGTATCACCAAATTATCCAAGACCATGCCAGCCTTGTCACTGCGATCCACTTGGTTCCTTAAGTGAAATCTGTGTCAAGGATGAGAAATACGCTCGCCGAGGTGAGGACGGCCTCTAGGGCCCAAATCTGTCTTTATAGCAGGGTGCACTCCAAGAACCAGGTTTTTATTCTCTTAGTAATTAATTTTACACTTAATTAGATTGCTTTAAAAGCAAGAGGAGTGTAATCATTTGTGTATGTACATGTGTCGGTGTGTGTATACAGTCTTGTCACTTACTGGTAGGAATAAGTTCTGAAAGATGTGTCATTAGGTGATTTTGTTGTTGTTTGAATGCCATAATGTACATACACAAAGTAATACTTCATTGGATGATACAATATTTTTTTTTTTTTTTTTTTTTTTGGTACTGGGGATCAAACTCGGGACCTTGCACTTGCAAGGCAGGAGGCAGACCCACTGAGCTAAATCCCCAGCCCGGGTGATGCAATCTTATAAGAACATTGTCATATATGATGTCTGTCATTGAAACCAACATGATGCTATGCATGACTGTGTGAATGTATCTGTAAAGAGGGGGTGGCAATCACAAATCTGTAGGTCTACAAACTTTTTATCTTATTTATTTATTCAATTGTTTTGAAGCTTCTGTGAGTTCTAGTGTAAAGTGGCAGCATTCATTGAAGGGTGTGTGTGTTCCAATGGGAAGCAAATACAGAGCACATCTTGAGATGTAAGCAATAAATTAGAGAGTTAGAAGTGTGCCTAAGGGACTAAAAATATAACAGTCATGAGTTAAAGAGGAGAAGGAGGCTGGCATTAATTTAAGCTAAATACTTTGTGTAATGGAATTCATAATGACCTCCAAACATTAAGAAATCCAATGCCAATGTAACTCCTTGCTATAAATTTTTGGGAGCTACTTGAAAAGCAGTTACTTGCCAAGTTCAAGTAGGAAATTCATAACATGTATCTGAAACCGTTTCTTTCTGTATCGGAGTGAATCCTTCTCTTCTTTGGAAAGACTAAAATAAACCATAACTACAATATAGGCTTTTCCCCTAAGACTTTCTCCTTTGGCATAGTTTAGCTGGCCTGCTTTCTTTATGAAACTATAGTATTATCAATTTAAGCATAATATGCAACCTTAAATCTTGAAAGATTAAAATCTGATGTGTTTTACTACACAAATGATGCATTGCTGTCTTAGTCACTTTCTTGTCAATGGGACATAATATCTTACATTCCAAATTAAAAGAGGAGAGGTCTGTTTTGGCTGGCATTTTTGGTCCATTCTCTGCTGGCTCCAAGGCAGGACAGCACGGCGGAGGGGCATAGCAGAGGACAAGCCACTTATATTGTGGCACCCGGGAAGCAGAGAGAGAAGGGAGTAGACACGGAGGAGGTGGATCCTTCGGGGGCACATCCTCACTGCGTGACCGCCTTCTTCCCCCCAGACCCTGTCTCACAAGCCCCCACCTCTAAGTCCATAGGGTGTTGGGAGGACATTCTCCATCTAAACCATAACTACTACTGGGTCATTTTTCATTTTAAGCCCCTTCCTTTTTTGGTAATAACTAAGTCACAGGGATAATTTCATTTATATTTCAGTTATGTTGATGTCCTCTTTTAAAATAAGTACATCATTACAAAGCTATACAAATAGAAATGCAAAAGCCAAGTATATAATTCAGTGGCAATGCAGCAGATATACTAGTGTTAACATTTTTGTACATATTTGTCATAATGCATAGAGAATTTTTGACATTGCTCCTTTTTATTTTACATGCTAAGTTTTCTTCCAATCTCTTAAAAATCTTCCCTGAAATCTGATTCTAGCACCTAAATAATACATCAGAGTATGTTTGTACCTATCTACCAATTCAACTGTATATTAAACATTAAATTTTTTCTAATATTTGTTTATTTAGCTAATGCTTCAATTAAGACCTTTGTATACAAGTATTTTTATTGCCATAAAGTAATATGTAGTAAAATAAATGTTTAACAAGGAAAGGGATAACATACTCAGCTATGGCATCTTCTTCAACTTTTTTCTTTCCTGTCTTCTTTCAATTTAACTGCAGTGAACCATTTTTCCTACTCAGTTCCTGAGAATTATCTCCAAACTCTGAATGTTCTTATCAGTGTTTCTGTCATCAAAATATTTTCATATTGATTTCATCTTGAAAGAAAGAAAAATGTTCCATTCATATTCCCTTCCTTCTCTCCACCATCCCAACATTTCTTTTATGTATCTCTCCTATGATACCTTCATCATGTTAAAAAGAAAGCTTAAATTCCTATCTCATAATCCATTAAGTTTAGGCCTTTCCTCTTGAGACTTAATATGTAAGATAACAAGAATACCATCTTTACCCTTCCCAGCCTTTTGCAATTGTCACTCACATATTTATCTTTTCAAAGATATAAACAGGAATGTTTAGATTAAAAATTAATTCTTACCATTTTAAAATTGAAATCCAATCAACATTGTAGTATAATTAGATTCACATTATACAATAGAGACCTGAGTTGTGAAATTGAATACATACTTGTAATGCATTTAACCTTCCTGCATAGTCTGAGCTGTTGATCTCTTTAGGAAAAAATCTAACACGTGGCTTAATGGTCTGAACTACTTAATCAAATTGCATAAACAAACAGTAGACGTTATATATATATCCCAGTGTCTTATTGGCAATGATTGGAGGAAATATAAACATATTTCTTTTGTGAATTTTGTTTCCTTTATTTTCTTTCAGTGTGAGATAGACTTTTTTCCTCCTTAGATTTGTAGGAGCTCTTTAAAGATTAAAAATAATAAGAGGGGCTGGGGACACAGCTCCGTGGTAGAGTGCTTACCTAGTATGTGCAAAGCCCTGGGTTCTATCCTTAGAAGTACAAAATACACAACACAACAAAACAAACACTCAACACTTGTTATAAACACACTTGTTATAACACACTTGGTATAAACAATTTCTGGATTTGCTTTGTGTCTCACTATTGTGGAAAGAATTTCTAACATGTAGAATTGAAATGTTTTTATATAATCAACCCTTAAAATTCAGATAATCTTCTTTACTTATTATAATGACACTAAGTATGATCATTATGTACTTTAACATTCCTCTATTGGATTTCTTACATGCTTTTAAAATCCAAAAACTCTTATCTATCCAAAGATTAGACTAATGTGTTTTTTGGTTCATTTGCATGATTTCACTTAATAACAATTTATGAATGCATCTGAAATTTATTTTGACATGTTTATAAGGAGAATTTCTATCTATATTTTATTTTCAAATAATGTCTTTTTATTCACTGACAATATTATGTCTACAAACATAGTTTGTTTTTACCATATATGTTTGTTATAGTCCTATTTCTACAACCAAAAATAATTTTTGTAGTCTTTATTTTTATTAGTAAATGCTTGCAATATATAATGATTGCTGTGCGCTCATTATGGGGAGCTGGTCCATGTACATAACATATCTTAATCCTTTCCATGTCTGCATACCTTCCCTTCCTCTCTTTCCTCTTTCCTTGCATCTCTTGGGCTCCTTTTCACTTGCAAAAGATCTGTCCCCTTGTTTCCTATAATCTATATTTATTATGTTCTGCATCTGTTAGTAGCACTCAGCTATCTGTCTGAGCCTTGTTCTGTAGTTTGATTTTTCTGCTGATTGTTTTTAGAGCCCCATTTTCTTATGTGTTTCATTATTCTGTGTGTATTTTGTGTGTATGTATATGAGTATTCCTAGTTCGCCTTTTCAGGGGCCTTGCATTTACATGAGATTCTCTGATATGACTTATTTAAATTTATAGGACCTACAATTTTTATTATCATTTCCTAAACCATGCCCCCCAAACTCTACAATCTGCCAGTCCACTCCAGCAAGGAAAGACAATGGCTTACAAGCCGCATGACCATCTGGAAGTCAGTTTTGTAGTTTTTCACCTCTGAAGATATTTTTCTTTATTTCACTACAGCAAAGTCATTCTACCATCCATCGATATAACTACATATTTTTTATTTCATTACAGACAGGAGTGGGCTTTTAGTCTATAAAGTTTCCAGACACAAGTTGGATGAGCATTTTGTAGTTCATGCTGTCTTGATTTCTGGAAAATTTTTAAATTTTAAATTGAAAACATAAAATCTTAAAATACATAAAAACAAAACTTGGACATATTTAAGGGATACCATGCAATAATTCAATACTTGTATAAATTATGTAATGTTTAAGGTTTCATATATCTGTCTCCTCCAACATCCTTTATGGTAAAAACGTTGAATCTCTTTTCTTCAGGCTTTTTTGAATATGTAGCACATTGTTGTTATCTATAATTGCTTTACTTGCAGTAATAGCATATCAGAGCTTCTTACTACTATGTAACTATAACTTAAAAATAGCAGCATCCATTGTATTAATTTTTAATGATTTGAAAATCCCTGTTTCCCTACATTACAGTGGCAGATTTCTTTTCCATTCACTCTATGAATGTGATGCATTAAAAGATTAACTTTATTGTCCACCATGGTAGATCGCATCTGTAATCCCAGCATTCTGGGAGAGTCAGGGAGAGGACAACTGCAAATTCATGTCCAGCCTGGGCAACTTAGCAAGTTCATAAAATCCTGTTGCAAAATAAAAACTTTGTTTTAAAAAAGGGCCAGAGATATATCTCAATATGAAGGTGCTGGATTCACATTCCAGTACTGAAGAAAAACAAAAAGAACTTATTAATATTGAACAATATTCATATTTTCAGAAGAAATTTTTACTTGACCAGCATGAAATTAAGATTCAGATTGGTGGTTATTTTACTTACAATTTTCTCATCTGGACTCATAAGTTCAGTTGACTGTGGATTTGAGACTTACCAGTCGTGGTTGGTATGTCAATTTGTCTGTGCCTTAGTTTCCACATTTGTAAAATGAGAAAAATTAATAATGTTTACCTCACTTTGATGTATTGCTTGCTGACTTAATTACTAATTATGGTAAATAAAATGTTCTGAATAACAAAAGTGTCCAAGTGTTAGCAATTATTATGTTTATTTTGGCTTACCTTTGCTCTATTTTGATATATTACTAGCTTCATAAACTCAGTTGCCTACCTCTCCATTTTCATATGTCTGTAAGAGTTTGAAACTTTGAAAACAATTTGTAAATATCACCTGATATTAAAAATTTTGTACTAATTCTTTAATAATTTTCCCTGTTCTCACATCCTGACTAGCTTCAAGATTTCCTTTAGCTTGCTTTTTTTACTTTTCAAACCTTCCTTCTGTCTTGTGTTCATCTTGTGTTTCCCTTCTTTTTAAAATTATGATTCAAAGGTCTGGGGATTTAGCTCAGTGGTTCTGCCTCCAGACTCGCAAGTGCAAGGTCCTGAGTTCGATCCCTGGTACAAAAAAAAAAAAAATTACAGGATTCATTTTTAAAATACTGGAATGAGCCGGGGATATAGCTCAGTGGTTCCGGTGCCTGCCTTGCAAGCTCAAGGTCCCGAGTTTGATCCCCAGTATCAAAAAAAAACAAAAAGAAGAAGAAGATTCATCAACAGGAGAAATTATTGGGGCCGGGGATTTAGCTCAGTGGTTCCACCCCCTGCCTTGCAAGCAGAAGGACCCGAGTTTGATCCCCGGTACCAAAAAACCCCCCAAAATACTGGAATGACTATTTTTCTATATCCAATAAACACTGCTAAATTTCTTTCTCATTATTATAACCTACTTAGAAAAATATTTTCCTTGCATTTAATTTGCAACTGAAGATTTGTTTTTTTTTCTCCTAACCCAAATGTTTAGAGATATTTATTAATTTTACGGTGGTTGACATTTTTATAAAATTTAATCAGATTTGAAATTCATAATTGATCTTAATTTATTGTAGCATTTGATATAAGTGTAGAATTATAGTAGTAATTTATGCTAAAAAATAAATATTGTATGTTCTATTTTGACAAAGGCATGTTGTAGATTAGTAAATAATAAGTTATGTTAAATATATACTGTGCAATATATAATTCAACATTATTAGAATTTGAATTATTTGAATTTTCTATTTTCCCAATTTGTGTATATATTTAAATAGTTTAATTTCATTGTTAGCCATAGATTTTTGAACAATCTTTCATATTTCCAGTAACTTTTGTTATGTATATTTGAATTCATAATTACTTATTTGAAGCATAAATATAATAATATAAATCATTCAATGCCTCTTTATTAATGGAAAATGAGAGTGTATTGAATACAGTGTACACATTGCCCTAATTAATGTCACCAGAACTGTTTATTTCTATTCTATATACTTTCCTAACATACATTTATGTCCTTGTGTTTTTACTACTTCTGGTCATTTACATAACTCTACTACATATTAAAGCACACATTTATAATAGGAAAAGAAACAATGTTCATCAGATGTAGCATCTTTGACATTATTCCTAGTGTTCAGTTTATTGCTTTCCATAATCACATATCCTTCCTTTTTTTCTCCCTTCTTTTTTTTTCTGATGGGCTATATTTTATTGATTTTCTCTTACTTTTTTCCACTTTAAAAGTCTATTACTTGTATTTATTCATTTTGTGTCTTTTTTTCTAATAAGAGACATTAACAACAATCAGCATCCTTGGCAGTATTATTAATGAAGAGACCAAACATGTTCTGGGGATAATAATTATCTTTTACATTTCTCTTTGTATAATTGTTTAACAAAGGAAATTTAAACTGCTTTTATATCTCTCCTCTATTTCTCATACCCCAAATATCCATCCCCAGGAACACATTTATTCTTTTCTCTAGTAATTCTAACGTGATGTTGCCCTTGGATTATCATTGTTAGTTTGTTGGTTAAGTATTGTATCTGTATCCCGAAGGCTCTTTCCCACCTCATGATACTGTTTGGAGAGACTTGTTTTATGACCCCTCAGGTTATTCACAGCTCCTGTTTTTTCTCCTCAGTGCAGAGTTTAAGGAAATTGTTCTTTCATTATTATCCAGCTTTTCTGTAGCCTTGGTATATGGTGGCTGTAGTTCTGTAGATAATTTGCGACTTCATCTTTCTCTTCATTTTTAATATTTTAAGTCAGCATAAATTTAGCAAACTTCTATTTAAACTCCAGGGTCTTTGGTTTTAACTTTATTGATGTATATCAAGAATCTGATTTTGGGGTCAAAATACGTTTTTAGAGGATACTAGAAATTAAAACCTTAAGAAGTAAAACTGTGCTTATTTTTTAGATATTGATATGTCGTGCCTCTCCCTGTAGGTTCGGCCCCTGGATCCTGTCATTGCAAAGGAGGCTTTGGAGGGGTGAGCTGCAATCGCTGTGCTAGGGGTTACGCCGGCTACCCCGACTGCCAGCCCTGTAACTGCAGTGGCTCAGGGAGCACAAATGAGGACCCTTGTTTTGGGCCGTGTATCTGCAAGGTACATTGTTTGTTCCAGTAGTGTCCCACTGTCAAGACAGGTCACTTCCCTGACTTCTCTGTTACGCTGGCTGGGATTAAGCAAGTGTAACAACTTCTGGTGTAAATAAATATCCACTGTCTATACTGCATGCAGTACTCCTGCAAGTGTCCTTAAATGCTTAGCAGGATCACGTTAGCAAGTCACTTGTAAGTCACTGACCATTTATCTAAAAACTACAGATATCTAGAAGATAAATCACCTTGAGAGATTGTATCATTTTATAACAAAGACTTTTCTCCCCAGTGCCCAGCTAGTCTGTTATATTAAAAATGTCATATGTTTCTAATGATATATATTTGTATATATAGTAGAAATAGTAACCCTTTAAAATTATATTCAGATCTACTACTTCTTTACATCTAATTCTTAAAAGAATTTTGTCAAGGGTTTCCTTCTTGATTTTTAAATAATCCTCTAAAATTTGAATTCAGATAGATCTTACAATTCTCACCATTTTCAACTCTTCTGTTTAATTACCAAAGTAAGAAGGCCTAGTGGAATTGATTAAAGGCTCAATATTTCCTCCCAAGAGTACTCTTAGATTTGTGATTTTATTTGTTGCACATGCTTGGCTAATAGCTCATCATGTTAACACCAAGGGATGCATTACACCTGCAGCTTATGCACTCACAGGAAACACAGGTGTGAGCAAGTGTAAAATGATAACCTTGACTAAGTTTATAGTGATAGGGTCCATAATATTCTGTTTCATACATAGCTCCATTACCTGAGAGAGTGAACAGTTCGTTGAAAAAGTTAACGTACTCTACTGAGATACCAGTGAAAAGAACTTTATTTCCTTTGTTTACAATCATAGATGGGGTTTACTAAAAGAAATCTTACTGTTATTAATTTATGAGGCTCATGTAGACAGCTGTAAATATTGCATAGTTATAGTTGATACATGTTTGTGCATTCGTATGTATTCAAACATTAAGTCATTTCAATTGAAGTGCATATGTATTAGGAAAAGAATGTTTGAAACATCAAGCTAAATGCTATAATAGTTAAAAAGTAGACATGTATTTTATGGGAGGGGCAATTTATGTACCTGTGTTGATCTACTGAAACTGGATACCTGGACTATTTACTGTCCACACAAGTAAGCAAGAAGCCCTGGGGCCCGCACTGAAGATCTGTAATGTACTGGAAGATAGTCAAGCTTCTAGATTTGGTATTTTTCATTTCAATATTATCTGAAATGAAAATTTGCTCTCTTAGAACCAGACTGGACACTGGTGTGTGAGTGACTGCTTCCTTAGGGACACTTTCAGTGTCTATCCTAAATATCTTTTGGGGCAATTCTACAGACCTTCGAATCTCTTCTTTAATATGTACCCAAACACCTAGTGGATACTTTATTCCCTTTCCAAAATTCCACAGATATTTCGAACCTTCACTTGCTCAAATAAAGGATTGCCTAACCTATGCTTACAATAGAAAAGAAACTACCTGAGACTATAGAATACAGGAAATCAGACAGAAAGGGAAAAAAGAAACATTTTTATATATCTGCCAGGCAGAGAAAAGTGATGTCTGGTATGCTGAATAAAAGAAATAAACAAGGAGGCAGCCTCATTTTGTTTGTTGCCTTTGGGAAATGCAGCCAGAAAGGCTGGAGCGAGAGAGCTGTCGTGATTAGCAGACTTGGAGGGAAAGCTCCTGAGCTACTAGAGAGTGATTATAATCCTAATAAGAAAAATGCCTCCCACAAAGACACTTGAAGCTCTACAAAGACAATTAAAATACTAACACAAACAGCAATTAAGAAATCATAAAACAGATTGAAAAATTAAGTGAATAGCGTCATTAAGAGAAATGTCTTTCAACTCTGTGACTTTTTAAATAGAAAACTAGCAGCTCTTAAAAATTTTATTTTCTGGGATAAAAACTTGTATAAAGCAACTGTTTAAAAAGATCTACATAATTGTAGAAATTACAAATTATATACCTATAACAAATGAATTAACACACTTATATGACAATGCATTATAATGAATTTTATCACAATGTGCATGCAATCTACAATTAAGTGCCTAACACCTCTTGTTTACAAGCAAAATAAATATCTGAGTATTTCAATATACTATGCATACAATCTAAAGAGTAGAAGAACACTTATCAATGTAAAGAAGAATGCAGTATTTCCTTCTATTTCATGAAAGCATAATTTGACACAAGTGTGTTGATGATCATTAAAAATAACATGAATTAAAATCTACTTAAGCAAAATTTTATTGGTAACTGAAATTCAAAGAAATTATAGTATTTTGGTTGAATAGAAATATCTATTCATGTTCATGTAGTATTGATATGATGATTAGTAATATTGAATAAGTATTTATACATAGAATATGAATTACATGTAAAATAATGTCTGTATAAATATTCATTTCCAATGAATGTATTAACAATACACATTTAAAAATTTATTCCATTAACCCAACACAGTAAGAGTATTTCAGTGTTCATAGGAAGAAATGTCTCACTTATCGAAGTGCTTTGTTCTTAAAATTTTCTATTGTGAGTGCTAAATGACTGACATTCTAAACGCCATACTGAGTGGATGGAGACACTACTTTTCTTGCTTTTGCTATTTCAAACACAAGTTATGCTGGATAAACAGATAAATTTAAAAACAATTCGATTCTGGAAAGAAAGGAGCATTTCAAGGTGTCTGAGCTGAGAAAGGAATTGAAGTAAAGCACGAACTCCAGCCAAACTGAGCAGTGAGGACCACGGGGTAGTGGGTGTGAGTCCAGGCTTAGTTTTAAAATGGAGGCTAGCGTCTGGGGTCAAAGCTTTCCCAAGGACTTGATGGAGAGAAATTATAACTGACTGACTTAAGCGGGGCCTCTGGAAACCCTTTCTGATGGTGAAAGAGGAACTAGAAAATTCTTCCTGCAAATTGAAGAGGCAGAGGAAACTCTTTTTTCTTTAGGGATCTGGGTTAGTAAAACTTAGTGCCTTGTGAGGAATCCAGTCCCCAAAAGGGAGTGCCACACAGGAATAAGTGGAACAATAGATTAGATACAGCTGTGTGGAGAATCAGAACTATGGTCTTAGGGAAATTGCCTATTGTGTAGCATAAGAAGATGAAGAAGCAAAAATACGATGTTTAAGTGCCTGACAAAATAATAAAATTCTACATGACTTTGGCAGGATTTACTAAATTTATTTTAGTAAGAATATTGAACCCAGAAGAAAGTTTCATTAGATTGCAGGATACAAAAATCAGTCTGTAAAAGCAGTAGTATTTCTATACTTCAGTGACAACTAAATAGGAAATAAAACAAAAATATTTAGATAGAAATACACACTTTATGAAACCTAGAAATAAATTTTAAAGTGCTTTTTTTAAAAGTGATTAAAGAATGTAAAATAAATATTAAAATGCAAAGATAGATGATAATATCCAAAACCAGAGAAAACCCAGGAAAGTGAAATACTTACTATTTTATGTGACTTGGTGTCATGACTTCAGAGGCCATTTGGCATTGTCTAGTCCTTTTGAGATCACAAAACCCTGTCATCCAGCGATTTCACGTCTAAATAGCCATGATAAAGACGTTCAACCATATATTTTTTTTTTCTTTCATGCTGGGGATCAAACTCGGGACCTTGTGCTTATGAGGCAGGCGCTGGAACCACTGAGCTAAATCCCTGGGCCGTTCAACCATACTTTTAAAGAAATATGGAAAAAGATGTTCAGCATGAGCCACTTGCTATAATGAAAATATTTCATTATAAATATAAAAAATATTTTAACTGACAATGCTATTTGAACTGTACCTGTTATGAGAGACAAATTCCTGCATGTACTTTTTATGATAAAAACTTTGTATTTGTGATTTAGATTCAGGATCAAACATATACTACATGGAAAGCTCATTCTAGAAACACTCAAGGTTTAAATCTGACAAGTTAACGAGGTGATCATTCTGGTACAAAAATGAAAAAGAAGGGAGTGATCCAAAACCAATGAAAAGGTTTACACATGGTAAAAACCCTTGCGGGTAGAAAGAGTGGAAACATATCTGCATGTGAAAAGGATATAAGCAACCAGAAAGCAATCCATTAGTATTATGTTTTTGGTAAAGATTCTCTCTCAGACAACATTAGATAGGCTCTTCTGAGTCCTCTCTTTGATTTTGTCTCACTTTGGGCCTGATCCTCAAATGTGGCTCAGCTGTAGCAAGAGTTGTGCTACCTCCATTTATCAAAGACCCCCTCATTCTTAGTATCTGAGCGCACAAGTTTGCCCTCAACATGAATCCTTTAAGTTGCTTTGACAATAATCACCCCTACCCTTGATGTTTCCTTTTAGCAATTTGCACAAACTAAACCTCATGTAGACGTAAGCTGTAGATCCTCATTTATCCTTGCTGAATTTAGAATGAAGCCCAGTTCTATACTGAGGTCTCGTTTACCCTATTACCATAGTTTCTGAATAAAATCTCTTTTTGTCATTTCAGCCAATATCTGGTTAGGAGTTTTATTGTTTTTGACAATATCAAAAGCTCAGCTTGCAAAAGAAAGTGAAAACTAATTTTCATTTATTTTCTTTTCTCCCTAACACACCAACTATTTATTATATAGCCTTGGAACAAGATGTTTACAGAGTAAGCACTCAACAAATACTGCTGATTAACTAATTATCCTTCCATTTGTTAAGTTTTTTAAATATTGGGATGCATTAGAATGAAGGCCATAATAGAAGAAAACCTGTCATTGACTACACACATCCAAAAAGCCCAGCATGACTACAAAATTTCTGAAGCAATTATCACAAAAAATAATTTAAATGTCATTGTAGATATTCTTGGTACATTGTCAATAGAATTCCCAGGTGACAAACAATCACAGTTAAACATGTACAGCTGAAGTTGTACCTAATTTATAAGGAGCCAGCTTCATGAGAAAGAATGCAGGTACACTATTGTGACTCTATTTCTCCA